TAGGCTAATATGTAAAAATAGCACCTGAAACATCATCTGACATGTAATAAATTTACCAAATGTTGATAAAGAAAGGTGACTGAGAGCACAGTAGATATCTCAAAGGCTATGGGAAAAGGGTGGTATGATCGAACCACTTGTGTTTCAAAGGTGCATGGGTTTCTAAAGTGGAAAGAGAAGTGAAGTTCTGAAATGGGGAGCAAGTAGTTATAATGTATAAACCACTTTTAGGATCTGTAGTTTATGACCAGTGAAATTTATAAAAGCATCTTTAATATTACAAACTGTCCAGAGTATAGCCTGTTATTTTTTTGCTACAGGAAAAAGGTAGAGTGAATTTTCAAAGAAAAGTAATTTTTATGGCAACCTATGATTTTTAAAAAGCACAGTACAAACATTTCGGAAGTAATGGGGAGACAGGGAATTAAATAAAGGATCTTTCAGAAATTTCATCACTATTCAATAATAAAAAATGTCAGTGATGAAGCCTTAGTAGAAAGGCTAAGTTTTTATAAAATGGTGATTGTAAACAGGGGTGTAAGATATGAATTAGGTCTGAAGATACCTGAGATGGAGGTGGATTTCCGATTAACTTATTTGTTCAAATCTAAATTATATCACTGTGCAGTACCATTCTATAGTTAGATTGCAATAGCAAAGGGTATGAAAGGGTTGTGTGTTGATGGTAGAACAAGGGAGAGTTGGGGATGAAGGTTAGTAAACCAAAATTATAAGGAGATCCTGTGGGTCTTCTTTAATATCTGTCATGGATTGTATTCAGTTTGGGAAAACTACCAATCATTATTATGAGCATGGAACCCTTAAAATGCTACAGAGCTTGTTGCGGCTATGGGATACAAGTAGACTTGCTAGTAGATAATCAAAGTCTGGTAATATTTTTTCAAATATCAAAGAGCTATATTTATGTTTATTTTCTTTGTGAAAAGAAAAATTATCAGCTAACAGCATTGATAAATAAATGTGAGATAATAACTATTGGCCTCCTGAAAATAATGACTTATGAAATAAATGGTACATAAGAAATAATTACTAATATTTGAGAGTCCAATTGAAATTGTAAAATTATAAGTTGATGACAGGTCTCAATAATAACTTATTGGGACCAGCAGTTAGCATAACGGCTATGTCACTGGACTTCCATGTAGTCGACCATGGTTCGAGTCCCAGACCTGGCAGCTTAAACTCACGCCTGGTGTGTGTGCGTGCGTGTCCAAGATCCTGAGAGGAGAATGGAGGAGAAGGGATTGTGGTGTGGCCATCTCCCCTGGGGGTGATTTCTTGCTTTCTGTCTCTCTGTCTCTGTCTTTCTGGCGAGTGCATGTGCCCTATAGCAAAAATCTCTCCAAAAATAATAATAATAATAATTTATTAATAATAATTCATTCATAATTCATTAAAATTATACAATGTTTCACAGATGTTACAACAATCAGTGCACAAATTTAGGGGTACAAGTCAGGAAGGACTAATGAAAAGAGAGCTTGGTGTCCTTTTAAAATATATATATTTCATAGGACTAGAGCTAAATGATTGGCAGATATGAGTGTGTTCAGAACTAGTGATGGACATTGGAATTGTGAAATCAGTTCCTCTGCATAAATAGTAGATGTACCAACAAGCGAGGTGGAAGTGAAGATAGAGCAGAATATAATCTGGAATTTTTCTGTCTTTTTAGTGGTACCCTGCATCTCCCTATCCATATTTCCATTCTCATTCTGTTTTTGAGTCTTGTTAGTTCTTGAATCAATAAGACTAGTGAAAGCCCCATTAATGAATTTCTTCTTTAGCCCAGACCAAGACCAGATGCTCCATAAATGGAGAGCAGTTTTAAAGATGCTGGAGAATCTAACAACTTAAATTCTAACTGATGTTTTTTAATATCAGTATTAATATTTAGTATTTTAATATTAATATTTAGTATTTAGTATTATTTATTCCATTTATTTATTTACTTATTTCAGTTTTTTTTTTAGTTTGACCAGAGAGAGATGTGACAGAGAGAGAGAGAGAAAGAGAAAGAAAGTGAGAGAGCAAGTCTCCAGGTTCAGGACTGAAACTGTGATCAGCCATGTAGGAGACCAGTACCGTAACAACCATGCCACCAGCCAGCCCTCTTCCTGGTATTTTCTAGTAATTTTAACAAATATACTGATTTTCCACATGTCAAATTTAACTGATTTGAACAGAGAATAACCCTGGGGGTGATTTCTTGCTTTCAGTACTCTAAAGTGTACTGCTTCCAAGGATTGTACTTGTCATAGTTAAGAGTCAGATACCTACAAGAAAAACAAAGGAGGGGACCAGCAGTTGGCATAATGGCTATGTCACTGGACTTTCATGTAGTCAACCATTGTTCAAGTCCCAGACCCAGTGGCTTAAACTCAGGTTGGGCACGTGTGTGTGTGCCCAAGATCCTGAGAGGAGAATGGAGGAGAAGGGACTGCAGCGTAGCCATCCCCCCTGGGGTGTGATTTATCACTTTCTATCTCTCTGTCTCTCTGTCTTTCAGGCGAGCACATGCGCCCTATAGCAAAATCTCTCCAAAATAATAATAATAATAAAGATTAATAATAAGAGTGAAATCAGAAACAACACTGAGGTATGACCATCAAAATTACTTTAATAAGTTTGTAGAAAAATGGAATTAAAGTTCTTAAAATTCACACTTTTATTTTTTTATCATATTCATTTTCCATAAACTTTTAGAAGACTTCTAGTTTTTAAAAGACCAAGAGTATGCAGAAAATACTTAGCACAAACAAATTGACTATTTATATATCTCCTACTTATAGAAAAGTCCCAAGGATTCTGGGATATGGTGCAGTTTAAGTGTGGAATTCATTTTAATGCCATTTTGGATCAAATAAAATAAATATTTTTAGAATCATTATGTTCTAAAAGAGTAATTTCAATATTTAGATATTTTTTGTATTTTATAGTGGACATTATGTCCTATGACATTATTAATTAATCTAGCAATTCACAAAGCAATATTCAAAGTCATGAAAATGTCATTCTCTCTAAAGCTTTACAAAATGCGAGTGACTGTGTTATTTTAGTTATTCTGGCTAGAATTATTCTCTTTGTGTTCTTAGCCCTCCTTTCCACCATCTCTACCGCACTGCATACTCTACTGTAAAGATTAACTTCTTTTAGAAGTCCAAGTTGAATACAGATTTCCCTCATTATCCGCATGTGTAACACCTACTCCCTGTAAAAACCATTAATCATCCTCATGACTGTTACAGCTTAGAGTATTTCTAAACACCATTAGATATTTTAAAGATTAGCTCTTTAACATGTAAAATCTTAAGTAGAGACTACAGGCTTATACTGAAAGTCCATAACTTTAAAAAAAGTAAGTGGAATGGACAGCGTTTGAGAGATGGAAGACAGTATGTCCTATAGACACAGGTATTAGTGGAAAATGTTTTTGATTCAACTGTAATGTCCATAGATCCTTGAAAAAAATAAAACTTTCTGGGGCTGGTAGGTGGTGTGGTAGTTAAGGGCGCTGGACTCCCACATGGCCAACCATGGTCTGAGTCCCGGACATGATGGTTTGCTTTCTCACTTTCCCTATCTCTTTCTCTCTCTCTCTCTCTCTCTCTCTCTCTCTCTCTCTCTCTCACTCTGTCCATCTCTGGTATAAATAAAGTTAAATAAAGTAATTCTTTAAAAAAGTAAAATAAAACTTTTTCCAGTTAAATTTTATTTTAAAAAATGCAGCAAATCAACATTACAATTCAAGAATTTAATTTAAATATGCACTTGACAATGAAGCACATCTGGTATGGAGTGAAAAGGTTTTACAAAAACACATCAAATAGATTATCTCCAAATACCCAAATAATAAATCACTTCTGCAGACCTTTTGTTAAGTGAGATTATAAGCTAAGAATTGAAGTTTTATTGCTGTGAAGAAAAAAAATAATAAAACTTCTTAATACATGATAGAAACCATAGAATAAATGAGCACTCAGATAGACCAGTGAACTAATTTGACATAAAAGACTACTGAGTGTGATTAAGGGTAATACAATGTACACATGAGAGCCAGCTGTAGTGCAAGACACAGAAATGCACAAGTCAGGTCAAAACCGCCAACAAGGGCATACAGGGATAGATTGAAAGGTAGTGGAAGACAGCCACCGGACAGTGTTCTTATTCAGGAATTCTGTATTTTCTATTTTGTCCAAAAGACAGAGATACACAGAAAGAAAAACCTTTAACTACTAGAGAGTGGATCCTTTGAAGAGGAAAAACTCATAAAAACCAAAGGAACTCAAAGGAGATTTTGCCCAACAGCTCAGCACTACTGGACTTAGTGGTAAAGTAACACGTTTCCTCATTTTCCCTCTCTCTCTCTGTGTGTGTGTGTGTGTGTGTGTATACATATATATGTGTGTGTGTGTGTGTGTGTGTGTGTGTGTATGTATGCCTTCCAATTAAGAACATGACTCATCCATCAGATTCTTTCATCCTTTCATAAAGGATAAAAAACATTGCTCTTGTGCTCGCTTTGGCAGCACATATACTAAAATTGGAATGATACAGAGAAGATTAGCATGGCCCTTGTGCAAGGATGACACGCAAATTCGTGAAGCGTTCCATATTTAAAAAAAAAAAATTTCTCTTATTCTTACTCAGAACTCCAGAACATTGTTTTTGAAGTATAGAATTGCTGAACTAGAAAGAGTAAGGGTAAATATCCAGTTCAACATCTTTTATACAGAAAAGCAGTCACAAGTAGAAACTATAGGCTTGAATTGAAACCTCATAAAGAAATGATTGCAACAAAAATGTAGATGTTTAGAGATAGACCTTCACCCAATTGTGAATTCTATGATTCGAAAATAGCATTCTATCATCTTTCCCTGATTCCCGTCTAACAAGTCATTGCAAATAAAACTGATAAAGACAACCTATTACCATGTTTCATTGGCAGGTGTCTACACTTTCTTTAACAACCACTGACAGTCTCTACAATGGTAGTCTTCAACCATTCCGGCTTCCTGACCTTCAGCCTGATGGGCATACCTGGCTTAGAGTCGCAGCACTTGTGGCTCTCGCTTCCTTTTTCCTCCATGTTCTTTGCTATCCTCATTGGCAATGGTGCTATCCTCTTTCTGGTGGCCACAGAGCCCACACTTCACACCCCAATGTATCTGCTCCTGGCCCTGTTGATGTTGGCTGACCTCATTTCCTCTCTGGCTCTAGTGCCCAAGCTCCTCTGCCTCTTCTGGTTCAATGATCGAGATATAGCCTCCAATGCCTGTTTCACTCAGATGTTTTTCATCCATGGAGCATCAGTGGTACGATCAGCCCTACTTGTTGCAATGGCTTTTGATCGCTTTGTGGCTGTGTGTCAGCCATTACGCTACAACACAATTCTGAGCCATTCCCTAGTTGGACGCCTAGGGCTGGTGGCTCTGTCCAAAGGTGTGATTCTTATTCTGCCCATGCCTCTTCTACTTCAAAGGCTGACTTTCTGCCATATAATCATTCCCCATACTTATTGCGACCACATGGCTGTGGTAAAAATGGCTTGTAGTCACACCAGACCCAACCGTATCTATGGGCTTTTTGTGATCCTGCTTGTTGTAGGACTTGATCTGCTGCTCATTGGCTTCTCTTATATCCTAATTCTACAAGCTGTGGTACGCCTCAACTCTCAAGATGCCATCTACAAAGCCCTCAACACCTGCTCAGCACACCTCTTTGTCATCCTTGTCACTTATGTGCCTGCACTCTTTTCCTCTATCACCCACCGCATTGGTCATAATATCCCACCTCATACCCATATTCTTCTTGCCAATCTCTATCTTCTTCTACCATCAATGCTCAACCCCATCATTTATGGAATAAAGATGAAGGAAATAAGGGAAAAGGTAGCCAAATATCTGTGCAGATAAACTGCAATAGGCTGTGGATACTGGCAATAAACCTGAGTATAAAGGAAAATAAAGACAACTGGTAATGCCTTTGCCTGACCATCCATGACCCCATGGTATCTCCAGATGAATGGTGGAAAGAACAGACCATGGAGGAGGGATTTTTCTTTCCTTTTTTATTTAATGGCTTACATTGTGGGCTGATATGATGGTATTTTAATTTAGGTATGAACTGCAAGAAGGAGAGATGTCTTTTTCTATTTAACATCAGAATAACATAGGTCTCCTAATGATCTTACATCTGTGTTCATGTTCATCACCTACACACAAAATTGCTCTGTAAATGATCTCAGATCTCTTTCCTTGTTTTGGTGGAGAGTTTATATTTGTTTTCATTTTCTTTGTATTTTGTACTTCTCAAATTTTCTGGGCCTGTTTATAGCTATTTTCTTCTTGCTGAAAGGGACCTGCTATACTCATTACCTTTGTATACACCTTGCACACAATAACTCTTCAAGCAATTAGTCTTTCATTGAGCATTTTTTAATTTATTTGTTTGGAGAGGTTTTTGCTATAGGGCACATATGCTTGCTGGAGAGACAGAGAGACAGAAAGTAATAAATTACCCCCCCGGGGGTTTGGCTACACTGAAACTCCTTCTCTATTATTCTCTTGGGACCTTGGACAATCACACATATGCCCCTGGCATGAGTGTTTTAAGTCATTGGGTCTGGGACTTGAACCATGATTGACTACATGGGAGTCCAGTGACATAACCATTGCACCATCTGCTGGTCCCTCATTAAATAATTCTTAACCAGCAGTTAGCGTAATGGCTATGTCGCTGGACTCCCATGTAGTCAACTGCAGTTCAAGTCCCAGACCCAGTGGCTTAGACTCACGCCAGGTGCCGTGTGCGTGCATGCCCAAGATCTTGGGAGGAGAATGGAGGAGAAGGGATTGCAGTGTGGCCATCCCCCCGGGGGGTGATTTCTCACTTTCTATCTCTCTGTCTCTCTCTGTCTGTCTGCTGAGAGCATGTGTTCTATAGAAAACCCCTCCAAATAAGTAAATGAGAATTATTTAATGCAACAGCAATGCCAGTTGTTCACAGTACTGACAGGATGTGATGCAGATGCAGGTGACAGAATTGAAGAAACCCAAGAATGACATCCATAGATGAGACTCAGACTATTGAGATACATCTTACAAAATGCAAGGGAAAACACGTATCCAGATGTTTAACTCAAAAGATTCCCATGAATAGGAACTGAAGTTTTAAAAACCATATATGAGAAGAAGTTTGCCTATTCCTGAAATAATATTTCATGGTGACTCAGATAATGCACAAAGGCCAACCTACATTATTGTGATGCAGCATTATTATGTTTTTTATAAATAAAATCATTGTAATGAGGGGAATTTCTAACTAATCATTACATTTATAGCTATTAATCAATTGAGTGAACAATGTCATAAGGCAAAGACAAGATTGGATGATTAGAAAGGTGGAAGTGAAACAATATGAAATTATGGAGTATAAGAACTATTTAGAAATAGGATAATTGTGATCTCACCAGAAAGACAAAGAGGAGAGACAGAGAGACAGAAAGTAAGAAATCATCCCTCAGGAGATGGCCATGCCATAATCCCTTCTCCTCCATTCTCCTCTCGGAATCTTGGGTATGTAAGCACACACGCCCGGAATGAATTTAAGCCACTGGGTCTGGGAGTCGAACCATGGTTGACTAAATGGGAGTCCAGTGACAAAGCCACTATGCCAACTGCTGGTCCCAAATTACATCACATTTTTAAAAGGATAATGACATGGAAGATAAAAATGTGCATACTCTTTATCTCTGTCTATAACTTCTAACCAATCCTAATCTCTTCTCTACCTTAGTTGATTTAATAATCTATAAACTCTAAGGACATCTTTAATTCCTGTGACCTAGGACAGAGTGGGCCTTCTGTACTGAATGCTCCTTTCTTCCAGGTTTCAGCTGGTCTGCCTTAGCCTCTACAGTCAGAAGATGCCTACAAACAAACTAAAATATTATAATAGATAAAATTATACTCTTCAGCTTATTCTATAATTAATTCTCTTATTTAAAAAATATCTTAATTCACTCTTAACTGTGAAATTGTTTTTATGGAGAATATGTAGGGGAAGGTTGACATAGAGGGAGAAAAAGTGGTAGAGCCGCCTGATAAATCTGTGGTGGTCTCTCTGTGCTTTTGTTGTTGATAAGCCAGATTTCCCAATGAAGATTAGACCATAGAGGGGGGATTTATGGTTAGTGTCAACTTTTAGTCACCATCATGATTAACATTACACAGTTCAGAGAGAAACTAATATGCAGGTGAAGATATTAAAAAATAAGAAATCCTAAGAAAAGTTTAGGGCAACAATTAAGTTAAGGATATTTCTGTTCTAGAACAGGAGAGAAGGAAAGTGTCCTATCTTATATTTTTCAGAGTCTTTTAATTCCAACATAAATACCATCTGACAAGATGGCTTGGTGACACTTGTTCCATTAATGTTTATATATTAAATTGTTTGAAATTTAAGTCCAGTTGTATAATATCCATTCTACTAATTAAATTACAGAGGTTCAGTTTTTAATGTAACTTTCCCATAGTCACATGAGTAGCGAATGGCTAAGCCTGGATTCAAATCTAATCTATCTGATCATGACACGTGTTCCCACTCTCTAATGTCCACGTTGTCTGCTTAAAGAAAATCAAGAATGGAGAATGAAAGGTCATGGAGCAACACCTAGTGGAGCACTTAGCAGAGTGGTATCAATCATAAACGTAGCACAACTACACATGCACCTCATTCCTAATACCACAAATAAAGTCAAGACTTACCTTGGTGCAATAGAACTGCTATAACCTGTTTAGAAAATTGACAATATATGTCTTTTTTTTAGAGAAAGATTTTTGTTATAGGGCATGTGCACTTGCTAGAGAGACAGAGAGTCAGAAAGTGAGAAATCACTCCCTAGGAGGATGGCCACTCTGTAATCCCTTATCCTCCATTTTCCTTTCAGGATCTTGGGCACACATGCACTCACATCCAACATGAGTTTTAAGTCACTGGGTCTGGGACTTGAACCACAGTTGACTATGTGGGAGTCTAGCAATGCAACCATTATACCATCTGCTGGTCCTGGCAATATGTGTCTTTTCTAGTTGTTACCTATTGTTAATTTTCTGCCCACTCTTATCCAGTCTCCACTCTTCTGAAATGCACTCTGTGTTCCTAGGAATTGATTTGGATGGAATATATCACCAACTCTCCATCACCAATTGGCTTCCATTTGAGTTTGCTGAAGGGAGCTCTGTTAACTTAGGTCTTCAGAAAAGAAAACAAGAATAACTGCAAGAATTTTGCTTGTAGAAATACTTATGTAAAGAAACTAGGGAGCAAGTGAGAATAAGCTGAGAAAGCCATGTTCAGAAACCACTGGTGGTCTCTTCTGCTGACAAATTGGGTATTCAGTGAGAGGCCATATCAATGTGTCTAAATGCAGCATCCATCTCTTCCACCATGTTTAGTCTGTGCTGGTTCTACAGTGGCTGATGGTGGAGACTTGTTAATGTCAATAGATGATCATTTTGTCTACTCAGTTGTTCAGAAATGCTTTGGATGTGAATGTATCTTCACATGTAGTTACTAAGCTCCAAAACCTCGCAGAATGGAGAAATGGGAGACAAAGAATTGTGGCATGACTACATTCTATTGGAAGGGGACTTTCTCTCTCTCTCTCTCTCTCTTTCTCTGTTTATCTTTCTCTCTGTCTCTCTCTGCCAAGTGTACAAGTCCTCTAGGAATTAAAATAAAAAAGAAAAGCGATGAAGAGGAGAAAGAGGAAGAAAGAATGAATGAAACAAAGAAAGATTCACTTCCACTGATAAAATATTTGGCAACTGAACCACCACATCTTGTGACCTGCCAATCCAGAGAATAGACTCTGCTTGTTAGATAGGATGTCCCAGTTCCCTATCTTGCCACTTATAACACTTTAATATTACCTGCATTAGTTTGGGTTTTCTGTAAAGCAAATACCAAAAAAATATTTAACATGTAAGAATTTTACTCAGGAAAATACTGTGTGAAAAAAGATAAGAAAGATAATTATTTTAGGTTTGGACAGCAGACAGTTTACAGTACAAGTTTAACCCCAAGTTAAAAATAAAGAGCAAAAAGGTTAGGTGGATATATTAGATTGTAATACAAAGCCAGTCTAATGACCCATGAGCCTACCAAGATGTCCCTCTTTCCCCAGCAGCAAGGATGCCTTTAGCATCCTTCTGACACTCCATCATAGACGGAGAGTAGACATTGAAAAACACAACTTTGGTGCAAATTCAATGATGAATTTTAAATTGCAAGATTAACAGCCTTTTGTCAATTAGGATTTCTATAGCAGGAGGTCTATGTGGCACATTAATATGGATGGGTTTTTGCCATAGGGCATGTATGCTCACCAGAGAGAGAGACAGATAATAGGAAAGTCAGAAATCAACTCTCATGGGGGATGACCATACCACGATCCCTTCTCCTCCATTCTCCTCTTATGATGTTGGGCACAAACGTACACATGCTTGGTATGATTTTCAAGTCACTGGGTTCAGGACTCAAAACATGTTGGCCATGTGGGAGTCCAGCACCTTAACCACATGACTTCTGTTAGCCATATTTGTCAATTAAATTTTTAACAACTATAGTTTAAGTATTTTAAAGGTCTCCTTTAAATAATGGCTAAATAGCCTTAAAGGTAGATCTTTTTTTCTTTTTCATTGAATTTTGCCTTTTTAATGGGTTGTCAAAAAAGTCATGACGCATTTTTGAGTAGAAAAACAGAACATACACATCATGACTTTTCTGACACTCCGATAATATTAGCTATATAGCATTATAAAAACCGTAAGAATTTTCTGGTTTCAAACTTCATATGTCTTAAAATATTTGCCTCTGTATCACAAATCACTATTTAGAAATGATAATATCCCCTGAATTTAACTCTTATATCTGGGTACAGGATCTAAACTACACATTCTACTCCATGTATTTTATAATGACTTCTTCCTGAGCTCTCAAAAATGGTCTGGCATATTCTGTAACCTAAAATCTCCAGTGTAAAATTAACGTTAACACCTACAACCCTGAAAAGAACATTTTTTGAATTATGTCTTTACAAGAGAGTTGTCAGACACTAGAATTGGTTGAGACAAGCACAAGAACTGACTCTAGTTTTAACAAAGACAAAATTAGTTAAAACAAGCATCAACCTTTAAGGCTAGGAGCATCCGTTTTTCCCTTTTCTTTTGAAAGTTCTCCAGGAATTGAAGATTACATTTTCTGTACATATTCTCTAAGCCTTCAAGGAAGCAACAAATCCTATTAATCAAATGTAAGCCTTCTGCACTAAGGAGAATAAGATAGTGATTCTCAATTCTATTTTGAAATTCCCTTCTCCTATCTCACTCCCCCACAAACTTCTTCACTTTTGATTCTCCCTTCCAGCTCACAAATACATACACACACTCACACCTGCATGTATGTTGGCCTTGCTTTGGCAAAGTAAGTGGCATTTACACTCATGGCGACAAGTTATTGTTTTTTTTTTTTTATTAGGGAAACATTCCACACCATCTTACATGCACTCAGTGTGTATTGTTTGAAATACTTTGACAAACATTATCACATCTGATTTACCCAACCACTCTGCCACGTATGAAGAACAGGGGTCATTACTTTCATTTCATAGAGAATAATTGCCTTGCTTTAGAGTTAGTGAGACCAACAAGGTTGTCTGTGTCTTAGCCTCTCTGTCCAAGGATAAATATCTCAGCAGCAAATTTGACAATCTGATAAACTTCCTTCAATAGACAATTCCCTCAGGTCCTGCATCCACTTAACATTTCTTTCTCAACCTCACAATTGCTGTATCAGACAAGTTTCTGACCATGGGCAAGAGTTACAGTCTTTTACCTCCAGCACCTGTATTTAGTTACCTTTTCCCGAAACTCTTTGGTTTTCACTCCATAAATAATAGGATTGAGCATTGGAGGCACAAGGAAGTAGAGGTTGCCAAGAATGGTGTGGACATGGGGTGGGATCCCTCGGCCAAAGCGATGGGTGAGAAAAGAAAAAAGTGAGGGAGTGTAAGAGATAAGCATAACACAGATATGTGTGGTGCAGGTATTGACAGCTTTGTGGTGAGCTTCCTTAGAAGAGAGACGCATTATAGCCCGGATGATTAGCACATAAGATGAGGCAATAGCTGAGATGTCTGTCCCAACAACCAACAAGGCCACCACCAGACCATATATCCTGTTGATGGTGGTGTCCACACACACCAACTTTACCACAGCCATGTGCTCACAGTAGGTGGTAGGGATAACATGGATAGCATGATAGGGCTTCTTCTGCAGGAGGATGGGCATGGGGAGAATGAAGAGGATGGCTCTCAGCAAACTCACTAGGCCAATTAGCCCAATACGGCTATTGGAAAGGATGGTGGCATAGCGTAGAGGCTCACAGATGGCCACATAGCGGTCCAAAGCCATAGTCATCAGGACTGCCGACTGCATGGCAGAGATGGAGTGGATGAAGAACAACTGGACCAGGCAGCCTTCATAGCTGATCTCACTCTGGCCAAACCAGAAGATGCACAGTACCTTGGGAATGGTGGTTGTGGACATGCCCAGGTCTGTGAGGGCCAATAGGCATAGGAGCAAGAACATGGGCTTGTGCAGGGAGCGCTCTGTGGAGATAGTGAAGAGGATGGTGCAGTTCCCGAGCACAGTGACAAAATACATGGAGGAGAAGGGAATAGATATCCATCTGTGCTTGTACTCCATTCCAGCAATGCCTTGGAGAATGAAGAAAGAAGGGTGGCCCTGTGTGGCATTGCAAACAGTCATGGTGGCACCCTGGTGAAGTACCTGAGAAAAGCAGTAAAAAAAACTACATGAACTCCCATTTTTAAAAAGTTTCAAATAGTTTCAAAATGGAAAACAAAGACTAGAGTGTTAAGAAACAGAAAAATGGAGGCCAGCAGGTGACATTATGGTTAAGGCACTGGAATCAGACTAGAGTGTTAAGAAACAGAAAAATGGAGACCAGCAGGTGACATGGTTAAGGCACTGGAATCCTGAATGGCTGACAGTGGTTTGAGGTCTGAAACTGGTGACCTGAAAATCACAGCTGGCACATAAGCATGTGTTCCCAAAATCCTAAGAGGAGAATGGGGAAGAAGGGATTGCAGCATGACTATCTTCCCTGGATAATGATTTCTCACTTTCTCTCTCTCTGTCTCTCTGGAGAGTTCATGTGCCCTAAGACAAAAACCTAAAAATAAACAACTATATAAAGATAAAAAAAAAACACACACAAGAAAAAGATTCTAAAACTCAGACAGTAGATATCATACAGTATAGTACTATTCTATAATATTACAGTGTAACAGCACTGATATCTGAAAGAATGTATTTTATGATAAGTGTTTTCAGAAAGGACAAACTGGTTCAATGTTAATTAATAAGATATGTTATTAAATACATGTGAATATATTCAGAAATTAATGTATATCCATGTAATGAACATAACTTGATGTATGTGAGACAAAAACAAATAGAAATAAAAGACAAATTGACAAAATAGAATACACCCTTTTCAGAAACCAAAACATGAAATATGTTAATAGGAGTTTTAAAAAAATGAAGACATCTTAATAGTTTGTAATAGAATTCTATATCCACAAATCCAAGAATATACATTTTTGGCAGATGGAGATCTTAGTAGGGTTTTTGTTCTGTTTTGTTTTTTTTTTCTTTCTTTTTTTTTCCTAAGAAAACTGTGCAGTGATGATGAAGAATAGAGTAGGCAATGGAATGTGGGGCAGCTGAAGCCCAGAGAGCAGGCTACCAGACAGCCCACCCTCAGCTAGAACCATTTACCTGAAAGTAAGGCAGTGAGAGACTGGACAGCTCCCAGACACTTCTGCAGGTGTGTATGTGTGAGCGTGTGTGAATGTAACTTAGCAGACACCCACCTGGCTCCTGGAGAACATATGCATGGACCTGCATCTCTCCACTCCTCACCTTGGGGCACTCTGAATCTAAGGTGTGGTCCTTTAAGTAACCTAAGGAAAGGCTCTCAGGGTGCCCAGAAATTGCTTTTGCTCCACGCTGCTCCTCTCCACACACAAGACACCACTACTATTAGGTGTATAATTGACCCCAGAGGTTGTTGCCCTGAGCTTCCAGGAGGTGAGACTAATTGACCTTAGGGATTTTGGAAATGTTCCAGTCTTTACCAGTCCTGAAGGAACTTAAGGAGAAAAAGAGCAAAGTGAAAGCTGAATCAATGGATGAATGGATAATGAAACTGTAGTATATATATAAATATGAGACTGGGATGTCCCTCTTTTCTACAAAGACTTACAATAGTTAAATGCAAATAAGAAAATATTTTTAGAAAGAAAAATCAGGTCAAATAGAGAGGGAATAAAAGAAAAAACTGTGCTGTAGATACATAATGGAGTACTATCCAAACTTTAAAAAGATCTTTTCATTTGTTGCAATGTGGATGGACCTAGAGGACATTATGCTAAGTTAAATAAACCAGACACAGAAACGTAAAAATACAAATATATGTGTATAATGTCAACTTTTGCAGAGATAGGGAACAAAATAATGGTTGTCAGGGTACGGGTCAGGGGGGATGTAGGTGGAAGGAGAGATGTGAGTCAAAGGCCACTTAATATTTAATTGCATATCAAATAGGTTTTCATTTCGTTATGAGGTCATCTGTGTCATATAAAACTTACAATTAATTGATTTGTAAACTTTTTTCCTATTAATCCATGTGACATCAACTTAATTTTCAGAACCAGCCACGACCCTAAAAGAATGGAGCTAGAGTTTTTCTACCCCTCAAATGGTTACAGAATCTCTGTTTGAGTTGATAAAAAGTTTTGGAAATAAATAGTTGTGCTGAATGCACATTATCGTAAGCGTAATGGATGTCATAGAACTGTATATTTAAAAATTCAAAAGGGGGCCAGCCTGAGGTGTAGATCCCACATGGCCAGCTGCACAGTTCCAGTTCTGGATCAGGCAGCTTGAGGAAAATGTCAGGTGCATGTGCATGAATGCCCAAAATCCTGAAAGGAGGAGGAAATGGAGGAGAAAGGGTTGCAATAGGACCATGTGCAATAGGGTGGTACTTTCTTACTTTTTCTCTCTTTCTTTGTATGTCTGTCTGGTGAGCACATACACCCTCTGGCATAATTTTTAAAAATTAAAACTTGAAAAAATATAATGGCTGTCCCCACAGCAAAGTGGTTTAAAGAAGCTAGATCCTGCATGCCTGTTCATGACTCAAGTCCTTGCCTCAGTGACTTAAAAAACATTCTGGGCATGGGTGTGTGTAAGCTCTAAAATGCTTACAGAATGAGATCTTCCTATTTGCTACAAAAAAATGGAAAAATGGAGGAGAAAGGATTGAATCATAACCATGCTCCATTTGGAAGTGCTTTGTCCCTGTCTCTCTGTTTCGACACACATGTCTTCTGGCAATTAAAAAAAATAATAATTTTTGAGATAGCCCAATAGCACTGAGTTAAGTGCTGAGCATAGAAAGTTGGATCTGGGCCTGCTCATGGACAGGTAGGTAAGGTAGCTGGATCCCACATGATCCACTGCCTGATTCAAGTCCCAGACCTGACAGGTTGAGAAACATGCCTAGCATGTGTGTGTGCTCAAAATCCCAAAGAAGGAAGAGATGGAGGAAAAGAGATAGCACCATGATCATTCTCCCAAAGGGAACTTTCTCACTTCCTCTCTGGTTTTCTCTTTCTCTGGCAAATTAAAAAAAGAAAGAAAGAAAGGGAAGGAACAGGAAGGAAGAAAAAACAAAAACCAAAACACTGGATCTACATACTACATGGCTGACCATGATTCAAATCTTGGCCATGGTATCTTGTAAAACATGCTGGGAATGTGAGAGTATATGTCCCAAATCCTGCCAGGATAGAGAAATGAAGGAAAAAAGATTGCAGGATGACCACATCCAGTTGGGAGGTTGCTTTCTTTATTTTTCTTTATCTTTTCTTTTATTTAAAGTTTTTTAAGTTTTGCAGGGCAAGTGGACTCACCAGAGAGAGACACAGAAAAGGTCAGATAGAGTCCATGGTGGCCCTCAGAATAATTTGCATGTTAAAATCATCACACAGAGACCATCAGGAAAAATGCAAAATTATTTTTTATATGATGATAAATTAATGGAATACCATTTTTAATCCCACAATTCACAATTCATTTTTTAATTAATTAATGTATTTATTATTCATACATTAAATTGCTATACATCATTTAGATTGTGAGGAGACTTTACCCAGCATGATATATACCTCAGTCCAGCCCAGTTGAGACCACCATGCACATATAAGGTGAGTGTATTAGCTGTAAAGTGACATCTTTTGAAGTAATTTCTCAGCACTATGTGCTATGACTTCTTATAGACATATATGTTTCTAGACTTCTCGTAACAAGTCACCCGGCAGTCATCATCATCTATCCCAAACTTAACCCTAGATCCAGGGGCTTGGGCTCCCACAGTCATCTCTTCCCCAGGACTGACATCCTCACTGAAAACACTCTAGGTCTAAGAAAGTGCTAGGAATAATTCACTAATTAATGAGTGTGTGTGTGTGTGTGTGTGTGTGTATTTATGTATATGTGTGTGTGTGTGTGTGTTTGCTTAATTCTTTGAAATGATAAGTAAACAATTCTTTTATGACCCCTTTTCCTCTACCTCTGTTACATAGGATTTCTGTACATGGGGAGAATAACCGTCCCTTGTCTCTTGCTTTCACATATACTACAATGCCTCTTGACATTTCCCAAGGAAGATTGAAGACCTACAGGTCCATTAATGGGCTACATGATAGCTTTACAGGAAAATTACATTCTGTATATTAGCAGATGTAGATGAGTTGTTCTAAATACTTCAAAAACTCTCAGATAATACATGACAGTGGCTTAAGATTAACAAAAGTAGCAACCTCTAGTCCAAGAATAAGAAATGCTAAAGAAAGTTAGAGATGAATGAACTTCTCCCATTAGTCCTTAGGGTATGTAAGGAGTATAGCTACCTCTTCCCGGTAAAAAAGCCCCATATTCTCAGGCGAATCTGTTTAGTGTTAATGCCGTAGACCAGGGGGTTAAGAACAGGTGGTACAAGGAGATAGAGATTTGCCAGTACAATGTGGACCTGAGGAGGTACTCGATGTCCAAAGCGGTGAGTGAAAAAGGAAAAAAAGGCAGGGATGTAGAAGACAAGAATCACACAAATGTGGGCTCCACACGTGCTAAATGCTCGGAATTGGGCATCCTTGGAGGGCAGTCGCAACACAGCCTGCAGAATCAGAATGTAGGAGGTAGCAATGAGGACCACATCCATGCCAGTGATCGAAAGTGCCACAGTGAGACCATAGATGGTGTTGGGCTTGATGCTGGCACAGGCCAACTTGGCTATGCCCATATGCTCACAGTAGGTGTGGGGAATGATGTGGTGGCCACAGAAGGGTAAACGTTCAATGAGGATGATGAAGGGGAAAACAAAAAGGATGCCACGGATCACACATGCCAGACCAATCTTTCCAATCATGGTGGCATTGAGGATAGCTGTATAATGAAGTGGATGGCAGATAGCCACGTAGCGGTCAAAAGCCATGGCCAGCAGAACAGCTGACTCTGTGGCAAAGATTGCATGAACAAAAAACATCTGGGTGAGGCAGCCATGGTAAGAAATTGTGTGCAACCCAAACCAGAAGATCATAAGCATTTTGGGCAATGTGGTTGAACATAGGACCAGATCGGTGACAGAGAGTAGGCACAGGAAGAGGTACATGGGTTCGTGCAGAGCTCTGTCTGTCATGATGATGTAGAGGATGGTACTGTTGCCAACCAGGGCAAGGATATACATGGAGCAGAAGGGGATAGCAATCAAAGCATGCTGGTCTTGCATCCCAGGGATTCCAAGTAGAATAAATATGGAAGGGTGGAAGGTAGTGTCATTAAGGATAGATGCAGAGAGCATAATGAGGCAGAAAACAGAAGGCTTTATTTTCCTGAAAGTGGTGAGAAAATGAAATATCAACCTAGATGTCATTATTCCTCCTAAATATTTATTCAATTTCTTGTCTTTCATTCCCACAGTTCCTCACAAATTCATAGTTATGAAAATAGCTTTGAATTTATGTGCCCACTTTCCAGATTTCCATCCTATATATTGCTGCCTAAGTATTCTAGCATGCGACTATAATCAACCATAATGCAAACATAGCTTTTTCATGTGTGCACTTGCAGAATACCGAGAATTAACCTCTTCTAGAGCTACCCTCCACCATTTTCTACAATGTAGTGGGTCCTGAGGTACTAACCTCTATGGCCTACACCAACCAACTCCCTCACCCTCTCACTTGTGGTCAAAGTCAGTGATAGGAAATACCAAGAGGGGTTAGGAGGAGGAAGAAGAGTGAGGCTATATGTTACTCCTTCAGCTTCCACCTAGTAGAGTTGTTGCATGTTCACTTCATCCTTGTCTAAACAGTCTTCTCTGGCTCTAGTTTCCTTTATTAAACTTTTCTTCCTTCTAACCCTTTAATCCAAGGATTGTTACAACATTGGCTCTCACTTATCCAGGCAACTTCTGAAGTTTGTCCCTACACATGCCCACACTTTTGAAAATGGTTTCTGTATTACATTCTTCTCAAAATATTTTGAAAAGAATGAGAGCATAATTAACTAGTTAATAATAAATGAATTAATTTGAGTATAATCTTTTCTGCTAGAATCCTGATACCATAACATACAAAGAAAGCTCTTCTTGAATTTTCCCTTGCCTATCCACCTAAAATTATTTATCACCATGTTCTTCCATGTACTTAATATTCCAACCATATCTAAGTGTTATAAAATCTAAAAGCATGATTTCTCCTGTTAGTGTGCCTTTTCATATGGTGCTTTTTCTGCAAAAAACAGCTGTTCCCATCTGGTAAGCTCATAATAGTCGTTTAAAAACTGGCCCAAAACATCCTCCTTTAGGATGTCCTATTATATTGTCTTCTCCTGTGGAGAGAGAACCACACATCTTTAACATGACACTCTTTGAAAACATAAAATTGTTGCAAAGTTGTATGTATGTGTTTCTCTCCACTGCCCTGTAAAATTTCAGAGTCATCTTTTTTTGTGTATTTAGTATCTGTGTATTACATACATTAGACTAACAAATAATGTTCAATGATTAATTCATAAAAATAGAATGCTATAATTTCATTTTTTAATGAACCTAAATATGTGACCATAGTTAAAAATTGGTGTTTTTCTGGGACCAGCAGTTAGCGTAATGTCTATGTTGCTGGTCTCCATGTAGTTGACTACATACAGTTCAAGTCCCAGACCCGGTGGCCTAAACTCATGCCGGGCTCATGTGCATGCGTGCCTAAGATCCCAAGAGGAGAATGGAGGAGAAGGGATTGAGGTGTGGCCATCCCCCGGGGAGGTGATTTCTCAGTTTCTGTCTCTCCGTCTCTTTCTGTCTTTCTGATGAGTACACATGCCCTATAGTATGGTATTTTCCCTTGGAATCAGCAAGATCTTTCCCTGCTAGTCTATGATTACTTTCATGTTCTATCACTCTACAAATACTCCAAGGGGCAGTCTTTATCATCTCTACTTTGATACATTTATAGCCTAATATAATTTAATCTATGATACATTTCTTTTTTAAAAAGAATTATTTTTATTTAACTCTATTTATTTTAATTTTACCAAAGAGGAACAGAGTGAGAGAGAGAGAGAGAGAAGCAAAGTGAGAAAACAAGCTGCCAGGTCTGGGACTCTAACGGTGTTCAGCCATGTGGTATCCAGTGCCCTTAACACCAAGCCACCCGCTGGCCCCTATGATACATTTCTTTTTCTTTCTTGACTAGTCATAGCATTAGTCTGATTATAGAATATATCTGCTTTAGTCTGCCTTGTCAACTTCAATGTATGATACTTTAGAGTATGGCACTTTAAAATAGTACTTTAGAATATGGTACTTTTTTGAGAGAAAGAAATAGAGAGAAAGGAGAGAGAGATATTTTTGCTATAGGGCACATGCACTTGCTGGAGAGACAGAGAGAGACAGAAAGCAAGAAATTACCCCACGGGGAACAGCCATATATCAATCCCTTCTCCATCATTCTTCTCTCAGAATTTTGGGCATGAGCACACACAGGCTCCATGTGAGACCCAAACCTTGGTCAACTACATGAGAGTCCAGCAATATAACCATTATGCCATCTGCTCATCTTTAGAATATGGTACTTAAGATTAATGATATTTTAGAGTATGATACTTCAGAATAATGACACTTCGGAATAATGATACCTTAGGGCCAGTCAGTACAGAAACCACACAGGTGTGCACTAGGAGATCTCCAGAAAGAAGAGTCAGGCAACTGAGGATTTACAAGTGAGTTAAATGAGGGAAGATTTTTCAGAAGGCCTGCACCATGGTTTGAGGCTTTTCCATCAAGAGGCGGGGTGGGGGGGAGGAAAATGTTCTAAAACATCTTGCCTTGAGATACTCCTGTATGTGAAGTTAGAATCATCATTTTTTTTTGTTTGTTTAAGCCCAGTCTTTGGAAGTCGAAGACGCTCCGTCTTTAGAAGGGGCGTTACTGTTAAATTCATCCAGTCATTCTAACCTAAGTAGAAATTAAGAATGTGAAAGAACCTAAGATTAGATAAAAAGAAAAAGCTCTAAAATAATTATGAACATTCTTCCTTTGATCTTCAGCTTACCTGAAATTGCATTATTAAAAAAACAAACTAATAATGCATTATAAATTTTGGTATTTCTTTTAGTAATTATAATAAACATTTTTCATGTACTACTGAAAGTTTATACTAATCACTGCTAGTTGTTTAGAAAATAATATAATTACAAGTTTTAATTATTAATTGAATCATTTCTTTGCATTTAAAGCTATGACAATAGAGTTCACTAACAAGTATATAGTAATTTTATATATCCTTAAAAATTCAAAAAATTCAGTTATAACTTCCAAACAAAGTGATGTAAACACATCAATGACTATTTTAGAAAAATATAAAGGTTTTTAGATTCTATCATAGTAATACCTACAATTTTTAAATCATGCATATCAATAGATATTATCTTGTCATTTACTTGAGAAATGAGTTACAACACATACGCCATTCAATCATAATATCGTGCCAGATCCTCAAATGTAATATCCTGAAAAGTGGTCGCCTGAAAGATGTTCATTTCTAGTGACAGGGAACTTATTTTTCCTTGAGGCAGTGATTCTCAACTTCAGATCCTCTGAGTCTAAGAGTGTTTCACTTCTCACTGAATGAAAATATATAACTACAATCAACATTATAAATTATTTTTTCTTTTTAATGTCTCTGGCTTTCAGTTTTATAAATATTTATATTCTTTCTAAGACTGCTCTTTGATTTTATTCCTCTGATGAAAAATCTTTTTTATTGACAGTTTATCATGTACTAGATACTTTTCTAGGTGTCTCATATATATATTAAAGAGTAAAAACAATAATATTCAATGATATATTAAACTTATGGTATAGTAAAAAGATAATTAGTCAAACAATCTCCAATATATGGATAACATGGAGAAAATGCTGTGCTGATGTATGATATGAAGAAAAAATTCATGAGTCAATTCCTACTCAAGGAAGGATTCTGAGGAAATAAAAATCTTGGCTCGAAATTAAAATTTTCCACAAATGCTTCAAGCATTTTTTATTCTATTCAACTCTTAGTGATGTCACTCTCCTAAAGCTGCCCTTCTGTTATTCACTCTGAAAAATAAGAGATAACCTAGATTCAGACTTCCCGAGTTCAAATTATCTAACTCAGGCATTTCTAACTGTATTACACTTTTCTCATTCAAATCTGTCCTCAGCTTCCTGGTATAAAATTTAGGTAATACTCCAAAGGGTTTTGTGGAAAATTAATTGAGAGAAAAAAATATGTAAAGCATATAATATAGTCTCTGTAACTTAATAAGCTTTAGCTATAAAATACCCAAACTGTTATATTTCATGGTTTTGAAATCCCTGAGTTTGTTACTCTGACTAGGTACTCACTTTTCAAAAGTAAACTTTGTTTAATTCCTCAAATTGGAAGACAAATTGGCCTTTCTTCAGTTTATAATCCAAGGATGAGGGCTCTTTAGTTTTTCTCTCTTTGAAATAAAAACTTCTATTTAAAGATAAGTAAGACTAGTCCTCATTTAGCTGGGTTAGTTGAACTATTATAAGAAATGGGAGGCTCCTCCAACAATCCCAATTCTACCAACATGCTAATGTAATTGAGGTTCCTTTATTAATTTATCTTGGAGTTAAGGGGTCAAGGAACTAATATGACATAAAAGAAGAAGGATAATATAGGCTGACACTGAGACTAGAAAAAGGTATAATATGTATATGTAAATTGTAGAGAGTTGCCAATCTGAGCAATCATGATGACCTTTAGACACACGAAGAAACACAGTTCCATGGGCACTCATATGTAATGGAATAAACACCATTAACATGCAAATATAATAACTACACCCTTCTTCTGAAACCACAAGGCAGTATCGTTGAAAGGAAGATAAGCATGTTGATCAGAATTGACCCAAGAAGACTAGGAAACTTACATATAACTACATGGTGTCAAGTGTTTTCGCATCTTCAGTCTATTAACATCTAAAAACAACTTGCCATGAGGGATGACAGTAAATAAGATCTTAATTTTTGTTAAAGTAAACGTTCTACTGGTGTATTTAATGAGTTAGTCAACCAATTTTGCCCTGGAACTAGAACAGAACTTGGGTATACTTTAAAAAAAAAAATTGTAGCTTGATGAGCCTCTAAAGTTTTTGCACACTAAATTTCAAGTCTATCTGCAGGGAGGAAATTAGATTTGGGAAGTACCATCTATGCACACATTGGGGAGATGAGATGAGAAGTAAGATGAGTTTGCTGGTCCTCTAGACTTTCTGGGGATACTAAAGTCCTAGGCACTCAAAAATAAAGTTACAAATTAACATATATTAATATATATACATAGCTTTACTTCTTTCTTGCTGATCTGGCAGATATGAGTAAGAAACAATGCAAATATCATGCTAAACTTTACTAACCATTTTATTATTTATATGTATCTTACAACATTATGTTATATACCATATATGTACATAATTTATTTTAAAAAGAAAAAATAAAGTCTGACCTCATCATTGTTTTAAGAAAGGCTGCTCCTGCTCCCAGAGATCTAACTGGCTTGCCTAAAGCCTGTGAAGAAAATACCAAGAGACCACAGTCTCTAACTGTAGCAACAAAGAATTCAGGTACAAAGCAAAGAAAGGTTTGCAAGTGATACATGTTGGTAGCATTAATGTTACCCAAATAGTTGAGGGATTCAGTGAACTCAAGTTTTCATAATGGAGTCAGCAGGCAATTTGTGATGGCCTCCACGGTAGTCAAGGACATCAATTTCCTTGTAAGATTGTCATCTCTCTCTTCCACTGCCTCTGCTCCTGACTTTAGAGAACTGTCCTCAATCTTATTTTCTGTCCACCTAATCCGTTTAACACTCACTCCATTCTTGGTGCTCAGCAGCACTGAAGACTTTATCCAGCACCTAAAGGATAGTTCCTGGTTCTGAAGTCTCACCCCATTTATTTCTATTCTGGTCGAGAGAGGCTGCAGAACGGCTCAAAGCATCAATGAGCCCAGCTGCCAAAATCAGAGGTGGATTTGCAAATAAGATCTCTGGGGAGACACACCAGTTATGTTCAGGGTCTTCTTTTAAAGACTGAAAATTTTATCAAGGCAAGAGAAGGGGTCATGCCGAGGTTAATATCTATTCAAGCTTTAAACAGAAAATGTAGTCAAATTGTGCCTGAATTTTGGGGAGAGCAATTCAGGGAAAAGGGAGAAGACATGGAATGCAGATAAAATAGAAAAAGATATACTTGCGTTTGGGTTTGCACAGTTTCATTTTGTTGCTTAATCCAGTACTACATATTACTTATTTTCTAAAAAAGAATTGCCGTGTATAATCTGAATTCCTCCAAGCTGAACTTGAGTCTGATTCTTTATTTCCATTTAACATGTTTGTGTGTTTATAGGGAAATTAATTGTCTTTTCCCCTTCATCAAATTATACCAGATAATAAGCTACTTAAATACAGTTCATTGTGAAGATAATCAATTTTCCCTTTAATTCACTGAGGAAATGACATATCAGCAAATTGTTGATATACAAAGTGGGAATTCAGAGAAAATATCCATACTGGATATATATCTTTGTTAATCATCATCATAATGATAATATTTAAAGCTATAAGGTTAAAAGAGGTCAAGCAAGAGTGCATGTCTATAAAGACTATCAAAAACCAAACCCTGATATTTACTGATTACAAGATAAGGAATGATCAATGAAGGAAACAAATCATAGAAGTAAGGTAGGAAAAAACTATTGAAATCAAGTAAAGGAAGTGGTTCACAAAAATAGTATACAAAACAGAGCCAGCAGGTGGAATTGAGGTACAGGCAGCTGGATCCCATACATGGGTAACTTCACAGTTTGAATCCTAGACCAGGCATCTTGAAAATCACAACAGGTGGATGTGTGTGTGTATGCCTAAAATCCTGAGAGAAGAATGGAATAGAAGGGATTGTGGTGTAGCCATTCCCCCTTAGGGGTTATTTCTCACTTTCCTTCTTTCACTATCTCTCTCTGTTTTAGTCTGACAAGCGTATGTGCCCTATAGCAAAAAAGAAAAGTAAAAAAAAGATATAAAACACTGCTAATAGGTCAAGGAATAAAAGGATTGTGACTATTGTTGTTAACAATTTTGCAGTCATTATTTACCTTTGGAAGAACAGAATTGTGCAGTAGGAATATGAAATATGGATAGGAATGAAACAAAATGGGAGAGAAGAATTAAAAATATACACATGTATGTATTAAGGAAGGAAGCGAGAAAGATGAGAGAAGAGGGAAAAGGAAAGGGTAAAAGAGTATACCTAAGCTACGTAGTCTAAGAATGGACCATAAGGACAGTTGTTTCGCATCTGCCAGCAGCTGCTGTGAGGTTGAAGCTGGAGTGCACCACTCTTTTGGAGCTGCTCTTCTATTCTTCAGGCCTCAGTGAGAGCATAGCACCAAGACTGACCTGTCCCACTTAGAAGATGGAAGCTGATGCTTCTGTTGCCATGTTTTCAAAAGTCCCGGAGAATCAGTTGCTTCAGACTACCAAACTAGCAGAAGAACATTTGGATGCTGAAATACTGAAACTGGATCAGATGGACAAGCACGAATTCAAACAGCTCAAAGAAAAAAGACTCGAGGCACTAAGGAAAGCTCAGCAACAGAAACAAGAATGGCTTTCTAAAGGACATGGGAATACAGAGAAATCTCTAGTGAGAGAGACTTTTTTCAAGAAGTCGGGACCAGCAGTTGGCGTAATGGCTATGTAGCTGGACTCCCACGTAGTCAACCGCGGTTCAAGTCCCGGACCCGGTGGCTTAAACTCACGCCGGGCGCGTGTGCATGCGTGCCCAAGATCCTGAGAGGAGAATGGAGGAGAAGGGATTGCAGCGTGGCCATCCCCCCTGGGGGGTGATTTCCTGCTTTCTGTCTCTCTGTCTCTCTCTGTCTGTCTGGGGAGCGCCCGCGCCCTATAGAAAAAACCTCTCAAGAAAAAAAAAAAAAAAAGAAGTCAAGGAGAGTAAGAAAGTGGTTTGTTCTTTCTACAGGGATTCCACATTCAGGTATAAAATATTAGACAGACATTTGGCAATATTGTCCAAGAAACATCTTGATAACAAATTTTTGAAGCTGAATGTGGAAAAGGCAACTTTCTTTTGGGAGAGACTCCAGATCATTTATTCCCACCCTAGCACTGATAGAAGAGAGGAAAACACAATATTACGTGGCTGGGTTTACCATTCTAGGAAATACAGATGATTTTACCATGGAAACTTTAGAGTGAAGGCTCGGTTGTTCTGACAGTCTTAATTACAGAGGAAATTTAATGAAGCCACCATTTCAGAGCCAAAAGAAATTTGGAACAAACTTCACAAAGCTGTAAAAGAAACCATCCAAAGAAAGAAATATGATTCAGACTCTGATGATGATTAAAGCTCAGTTATAGCTCTTTGTAAATTATCTTTTTATTTATGCTTACTTCACACTTAATGTATTTTCTAAATTCTGTTGATTCCAATACGTCGATAACCTAATACTCACATTCTGGAGTTTTGTACAATTGGATCACATTAAAAGGCATCTTTACTATTTTCTCAGTGGCCATCATGTTTAAGTTGAAGAAAAACTTGAGTTCTGAAGGTTTTTTTTTTTTTTTTTTTGAAGAGGTTTTTTTGCTATAGGGCACGTGCGCTCACCAGACAGACAGAGACAGACAAAGAGATAGAAAGCAAGAAATCACCCACAGGGGGGATGGCCACGCCACAATCCCTTCTCCTCCATTCTCCTCTCAGGATCTTGGGCACGCATGCACACACACCCGGCATGAGTTTTTAAGCCACCGGGTCCAGGACTCGAACCATGGTCGACTACGTGGGAGTCCAGTGACATAGCCATTGCACTAACTGCTGGTCCCTTGAGTTCTGAAGTCATGTGGACATGATCTAGAATCTTTATTTATTTTTTTGGAGAGGTTTTTGCTACAGGGTGCGTGCACTACCAGAGAGACAGAGAGGGAGAGAAAGACAGAAAGCAAGAAATCACCCCCCAGGGAGGATGGACCACACCGCAATTCCTTCTCCTCCATTCTCCTCTCGGGATCTTGAGCATGCATGCACACACACCTCGCATGAGTATAAGATACTGGGTCTGGGACTTGAACATGGTCGACTACATGGCAGTTCAGTGATATAGCCATTACGCTAACTGTTGGTCCCTGGAATCTCTATTTTTGAGACTGACTTCACAGTATGGTTCTTATGTCTTTATACCATTCATAATTGTGTTTTTAATCTATAGAGTTGGAAATAGAAATTCAACCAACTACCCAGGGCTAATTCTTAATCACTATTTCTTACTTTATATAACAGTTCAAATAACATCTACTGGTATAATACACTGCACACTAATTATAATGAAATTATAAACACTCTTTGCTTATAGATTATATTTGAATAACTGTTAAAGAACTGTTTATTTGGACCAGAAAAAAAAAAAAAACAGAACAAAACAACAAAAAAAATGAATGGACCATAAAATTAATGCTGCTAAGGAGAAAAAAGAAAGAAAGAAAAAGAAATGGGGAAAATGAAGAAATGCAGAAAGGCAGTAAGATCAATTTATTATCCACCTAGAAGTTGAACATTTTTAAAATTGGGATTCAAATGAAAATAAACTGAAAAAACAGAAGGTGATGGATCAGGGACTAAGTGCCTGAAATTTAGATGATTAATAATTTGTTGGAGACAGAAACCAGCCCAGACCTGGGAGATAAGCCAGAAGGGAAGGATGCACGAAGGAGTTGAAAGCAGCCCCATTTCCAGACGGAAAGTCACAGGGACTGCATGACCAGGACCTGGACTATAGCTTTCTGTCCAGGAATGGGGTTGCTTTCAACTCCCTCTGCATTCTTCCCTTCTGGGCTGGTTTCTGTCTCCAACAATAACTGGCTTGTAAATACATGTGGTCGAGAGATTGCATTTGTATAAATACAAATTCTAAAGTACTTAGAATTAATTAAATAAATGAGATAGGCTAGTTAAGTATTTTGGAGGAAAGGTCAGAATACTGAGACCTAATTACTATAGTTATCTATCATTATATAACAAATCACCCCAAAATGTAGTCTGCTTAGCTCAGTGAGGAGCATGATGGTTGAAGCGGCTGGATTCCACATGGCTTACTGTGTGGTTTGAATCCTAGACCTGGAAACCTGAAAAACAAGTCAGGCATATGTGCATGCATGCCCAAAAGAGGAGCAATAAATGTAGTCTGGCCATCCTCCCTGAAAAGTACTTTCTCATTCTCTCTTTCTCTTTCTTTCTTTGGCAAGAATATGCACCCTTTAGCAAAGTTTTTAAAAAGAAAAAGAAAATTAGTCAGCAGTATGTATATGGATTTATTTCTGGGTTCTGTATTCAGCTTCATGGATCTAAGCATCTGTGTTTATGCCAGCACCGTGCTGTTTTGGTTGTTATTATTATAGATTTATTGTATGGCAGATAATAAAATATTATTATGCCATAGAAAAAGGTGAAATCCTGTCAGTTGCAGCAATATGGATGAACCTAGAAAAAATTATGCTAAGTGAAATAAGCGAGGCACTGAAAGACAAATATTACATGTTCTCACTCAGTTGTAAAAGCTAGAAAATTTTATCACAGGCCAGTCCATGGCCTGGTGGGTAAGGCAGTTGTATTTCACCAGTTGACTGCATGATTTGAGTCCCAGAAATCTGGTGGCTTGAGAAACACCAGACGTGGTGCAAATATGTATCCAAAATCTTGAAAGGTGTGAGAAATGGAGAAGAAGAGATTGTAGCATGACCATGCCCTCATGGAAGGTTTTCTCACTTTCTCTCTCTCTCTCTCTCACTCTCCAATGAATGCATGTACCTTAAAGCAAATTAAAAAAAAAAAAAAGAAGTTTTGATGATATAAAAGCAGAGAATAGAATGGTACATACCAGAAGCTAGAATGGGGAGAGTAAAGAGAAGATTGAGGAACTTGACTAACAGATATAAAACTACAATTACATAAGAAGAATGAGTCAGAGCAGTAAAGCACAGTAGAATATATTTAATAATAATTTAATGTATACTTCAAAATATTTTGAAGGGAAGATTTTGAATGTTCACAACACAAAGTAATAATAAATGTGTTAGACAATGAGTATGTTTATTGCTCTGATTTGGTCATTAAACATTGTGTTTATGTACTAAAAAAAAATGATGTTGCACCCCGTAATTATATACAACTACTATGTGTACTAAAAGAATCATTTAAAAAAAAAAAAAAAAAAAGAAGAAGAAAAAGATCTGTCACTTCTCCTCTGGCCAGAATAATATGTATCATCTCCTACTTTCAAAATATATGTGTCTCTTTTCTAGGGTCCTAAAGTCTCATGATTACTATGGAATTGGTTCAAATCCCAAGATCTCAGCTTCTAAAATCAGGACAAAGGGTGAATAATGCTCCTTGATTTTAGTTCATCCCTTATGTACAGCTCCTTGAATGCAGTTCCTCTCAATTCAAAGACCTGTGAATTAGATAAATGTATGTGGTCTACACAGCCAACATACCATGATGTTATAGAGGTAAGATAATTGCAGTTGATACTCATAAAATAATGGGAGAGCTGTATAAGAGTCACTTGTCCAATATAATTCTAAAATTCAACTAGAAATGCATGAGCAGTTTCTTCATAAGAATCCATTCATGTGTTCTGGGAATTATTCTTCATAGCTTGGCCACAAACTCTGGGCAATTGGCCTTATATTCTATGTCACCTTTGGTTTTCAATGAGAAATGACCTGTGTGTACCATATGAGTAGTTTTCTAAGTCTATTTTTTGACTAAAGAAGTTGGAAACTTGAAACTCTCTTTTCATTTAGCAATGACTTATATATGTTTCTTTTAATTCAAGCTAATGATTTTTACATCTGCACATGCTTCTTAAAAACTATGAGTTCTCCATGAAGATTTTATAGTTCACTCCATTAGACAAGTTATACCCACATATATTTTCCAGGTTGCTTCCTGTTTTATTTTTGCTAAGAGTTATGATGCTGTGGCAAAATATTCTTTAGATTCTTAGAAGCTTTTTTTATAATTGAAAATATGTGTGACAGACAAAACAAATATGTGGGTTTTTCAAAGGACCAGGCCTTTCCCCTTCCCTTTTCCCCAGCTGTGACAGTAAACAAGGCATGAGGACCAGTCATCCGAATCACTTATTTATTTCTTCCCTCACCCTTCCCTTGCTGCATGAAATGTTCAAGGTCAATTGATTTCTCCAAGTCCATTCATGGGGTCATTGACACACAATGGTATAAATAAAAGACCCAGAAAGCCAAAAAAAGGACCAGGCCTTTTTCTTAGCTTGAGGCAGACAAAATTTCTTAGGTATGAAAACCATCCAGAGAACTATTAAAGAATGCTGAGGTCTACTGAAGCAGGGTAACATTTGGGATTTTGTATTTTTACCAAATTCCACAGATGATTCAGATAACCGCTAAAGTTTGAGAACCACTGTCTTAGATTATTAATTTTCCTGGAAGATTATTAAATAAGAACAACCATTTGCCATTATTTTTACCACCTGTTATCTAGAAAGTGTCCTAAAAAGTATTCCAAATTGTGAAGCCTTTACTCAACCCTTTTAACGTGTTTATAAGAATAATCTATCTACAGCATGTGTGGTCACCCTACTATACTTGGAAATCTTAGCCCAAAATAAGCTATAAATCTTCCTTTTTTGTGTTGGCTTGTCTTCTTCAACTCTTATTTTATTTCTTTTCCTGTCTACCTGATCATCTTATTTTATAACTTCCTATAATCCATAGTGGATTTCTACAATTTTAAATAAGCTTAACTCAACATTGCAGAGATTCCAACTTTAAAAATGAGAAGTATTCCAAAATCAATTTGATAACTGATTTACTTTCCCAAGCTCTCATACTTCCATCAATGGATTCTTTGAGGGAAGAAAAGGAGGATAATTTTGTCCTGAATCTGCTTGGTCTTGACTCCATAGATGATTGGATTGAGTACAGGTGGGATGGCTATGTAGATGTTGGCAAACAAAATGTGGAAGGAGTGAGGTATATTGTGACCAAAACGGTGGGCAAGGACAGAGAATATGGCTGGTGTGTAGAACATAAGCATGACACAGACATGAGAACCACAAGTGCTGAGGGCTTTCTGGCGGGCATTCCAGGATGTGAGATTAAAGATGGCCCGAAGGATGAGCATGTAGGAGATGCCAATGAGAATCAGGTCTGACATGATGGTCATTATAGGCACAGCAAAACCATACCAGATGTTGATGGAAATGTCCGCACAGGCAAGCCGGGCAATGCCTATGTGCTCGCAGTAGGTGTGAGGAATGATGAGTGTTCGGCAGAAAGGCAGTCGCTTCAGTAAGAACACACATGGGAAGATGATGCAAAAGCTCCTGCTGGTAATACCCATTACAATCTTAGTAATAGTCTTACGAGTAAGAATAATGGTGTATCTTAGGGGGAAACAAATAGCAACATAGCGATCAAATGCCATGGCCAGCAGGATAGCAGAATCCATGGCAAAGCTGTAGTGGAGGAAAAACATCTGGGTAAGACATCCAGAAAAGGTGATTTCCTGAGGACCCATCCAGAAGATTCTGACTATTTGGGGTATACATGTATTAGATAGAATGAGATCTGTAGCAGCCAGCATGGATAGGAAAAAGAACATGGGCTCATGGAGGTTGTGTTCCTTGGAAATAAGATAAAGAAGAACACTATTTCCTACAAGAGACACAAGGTAAACAATAAAGAAGAGAATCCCGATCCAGATGCGGAACGGCTCCAATCCTGGGATTCCTAGTAGGATGAACGGGCCTGGATTGAAGCTGCTCAAGTTGGATTTGGCCATTATGATCATGGATTGAATGTGTTTCATAAACTGAAAATAAAAATGCCATGGCTGATTATTACAGTGATCGAAAGATCTTGCCTCTGAGCCTTTTCTGATATCACCCCCTCTCAATTTGGCTCCAGGAAATAATAAATGTTTCTCTTCTCTTTTCTTTACTAATAAATAGCTGCCGCACTTTCAGCTACAATTTTATCACAAAAGAGACATGAGTCGTGTAACACTCAATCCAGTCCTGCCTACCTCTCAGCAACCAATGTTATTCAGCTTTATTTTAGTTTTTTTTTTTCAGTTACCACTACATTAATTTTTCAAGCTCTTTTGTAACATAATTTTATGTCAAATAAAAAATGCATTTAGAAACTGTAAGTAGGAACACAAGTCATTCCCATCTCATAGACGTAACTAGTTTAATCTCTATCTGAACATGTTCTTAATATAGTCTTTTACCAAGAGCCATTTTTCTTGTGTCTTTGTTTTTCATCACTGAATTCTTGAGTAAGACCATAGACATTTAAAGAATGAGGCAAGGCTATGTGCATAGAAATCAAAAGATGCCAAAATATGTTTTGTTAAGTAAAACATGGCAAATTATAACACAATGTTAGCATCTGTTAGTGTTGATTTGTTGTTCATGTTACTATTTACATTTAAAAAGTTAAATATGCGTATAAAACATTATATGAGTGATATTTACTAGGAGAGCTTCTTAGGGTGGAGTGGGGGAAAATTATAAGCTTTTCCTTTTAATTAATACATATGCAATTTAATTTTTACCTGCTTATGTATTTAATTTACTTGTATTTTTTTAATTTGGTAAAATATTAAAAATAATTACTCATAAGTTATTTTATATATGTAATGCAACTTAATTAAAAATGTACCAAAGATTGTTGTTTAATAAGTAAGATAAATAAATAATATATTTTTTAAAAATAAAACATTTAAAAATGCATAAGAAAATGTTTTAAATGATAATTAAAAAGTTGATTCCACCTTTTATGCTTTGAAGATAAATAGCAATGATTAACTTGAATCAATCTATTAAATGTATAAATATATAAATTAAACACATAATTATAGTACATAGTGTGTTGCTGACTCAAGAAAAAATATGCCTGAAGAACAAAACATATAGCCCTAAAATTGACTAAAATTTTTTAATACTACGTAGATTTGAAGAAATCACAATCAATCAAAATATACAGGATTATTCCACTATTTCAGAGATCATTTGTTATTTATTGTAGAAAAACATATACCTAGATCCACAACTGACATAAGTAAAATAAAATTCCACCTGAATCAAAATGAGATATAGGAAGCAAACCTTAAGAAAACCTACACATTGTATTTAGGAGGGGAAGTCTTCAGAAAGTTAATAAAAAGTGCATATTATAAAAAAATCTATGCATGTAATTCAAATTTTTTGGAAGGAAAATAGACTCCTACTTCAATTCTTTTTTCTACTCTTTGAGGATTATTCAAAATATGCCCTTTTGTTTACTTATTATCTGCCAAGGAAAGCAAATGGACATTAAATTAAAGATATATTACTTGGGTATGGAAATAGTAACCACATTCTCTGATCTCTTGTTGGCACCATTTCTGGAATACAACAGTGGGAGGGGCTCAGAATTGAGCTCCTAATAGACACTCCTGTTTTGCACCATTGTCTTACCTTGTGGGTAAGCTCCAGAACTACAGTTATACACTGCATAATGTTTCAGCCAATAATGGACTGCATATACAATAGTAAAGCCATAGGCTATACCACATAGCCTAGGTGTGTAGTAGGCTATACCAACTGGGTTTGTGCAAGTTCATTCCATGCTGTTCACACCATAATAAAATTGCTTAATGACACATTTCTCAGAATGTATCTCTATTATAAAGTGATGTATGCATATTTAAATTTTGAATCTTGGCCTTTTCCATTTCCTGGAGGCTATTTTTTCTCCATCTCCTTTTCTCCTCTCCACCAGTTCTGTTTCTCTATTAACTCTACTTCCCACCAGTTTTATTGCCTGATAGTTCTACAATGCTCTCCAGCAGCTTATACCTTGGCTGTTCTGACTCTGGAACTGATTTTGCAAAGTCAGCAAAAGGGCTAGAGAATGCAGAAAAACAACAAGCAAAGTATATACCAAAGAACAGGAGACACAGTCCCAGGATCAGAACAGAGTGACACAGACACACTTGACCTAAGATCATGCACACGGCAAGGAAGAAGAAACGCAGAGATTGAAGGAATGGAGTACAAATGTACACCCCTTGTCTTCTCAGGGATTAGAGAAAAAATAGAACACAGGGCCTCTGAGCCACAGGGACCTGTGAGCTTCAGGTCCCAAAGCCCCAAATTAGTCTGGGATTTGAGCAAGGATTCAACTCAACTAATGCTTTCCCAATTTAGGAGCATGTATCCCTACTTATGTTAGTGGTAGCCTGGGAATCTTAGAATCCAGGAAGATAGTGTAAGGGCATAAAAGTGTCATACCTTCCCCTCATTAATTCCAAGGTCCATGGTCAGTAACCTTGTAATAAAAGACAAATTAGGAAGAGAAGAGCTTTAAAATTTATTTAATCAAAGATTTTCATGAAATTGAATTCGGAGATAAAGAGCAAAAGACCCACAGATAACTGCCTGTTTTCATGCTTTGTTTCAATGAAAAATGGACAGTCATGTAGAAGTATAATTAGACAAAAAAAGAGGTATAATCAAATGGTAATAAAGTGTGGGGAGCTTAGTAAGACCTTTTGTTCACATTGTTTTTAACGTCTTTATGTAGTATTCCTTTTTCCCTGGATATGGGATAGGACCCTTCTGGAATGAGGGTCATTTATTCCTTATTCCTCTCATTTCCTCATTCATTCTTTAACAAAATACTTAACTACTCTAGAAATTAGTTTTCACATCTATAAAAAGAGAATAAAACTTGGAAATGTCTATCTTAAAGAGGCGCTCTGAGGAGTAAGTGAAACAACAATGGTCAATTTACTGTAAAGAAAAGTCTTTTTCTATGAGTCGTCAGAATTTTTTTCTAATTAGGTTGAATTACAAATTCAGCCAGATTCCCATCATGCAAAACAGTGTTAGTGTTACCAAACTCAAACCAAATTTACTTGCCTAAACGCCACAAATCAAACTGTAGACACAAGATGTAATGAAGGAAAATACAATTTTATGGTTATGTGCAAAGCAAGGAGGGAAGAGATTACATACTAGAAAAGTTTGATTTCCCTGAGGACCACCATGCATAGATTTTTAAGGGCAAAATTAAGGGTAGAGGGTCCTGGATGCATGATCAGTTCACTGGTTGGTCCAAGAGGGCATGATCAGCTCTTGGGCTTTCTTGATTGACATATCTTTAATGGCAATCAAATCCCGTTCTAGGAAGAGGTTTTATCTGGTTTCTGGCTATATGAAGCCCAGGGTTCATGTGTTCCCAATGATAAGTTTCATCCTGTATCTTTCCTATAAGTGGGAGTTTTAGAAATGTTATGTTCTTCATTAATGGCCAATATTAATTAGTTACCATAACCGGTCTGAAGGCTTATCTCTTACTTTGGTCAAATAAAATCTAAATTAACTTTGCATTCTAAATCACTTTAAAAGACTTTCACCTTTAGTTCAAGTCTTATTAATTTTCAGTTTTGAGAGTTTCTATTTTTTCCTCCAAAGAAGAAGAAACTGAGAACCCAGTCTTTTGTAAGGAGTCCTTGCTCAATTTCAATACAAATTTTATTTAGCAATTAAATTGTTTTAACTCATTTATTCAGCAAATATTTATTGAGTGCCTATGATATGCTAGAAATTTTACAGGTGATAAAAATACAATTATAAACAAGGCAGATACCAACATGATCTTCAGTGACCTAATGAAGGGATAGACACTGAAAAACCAAGTATACAAATGGTCACCTTATTAAAGTTGTGATAAATCCCAAAATAAAAGCACATCATGCCATGAGAATGAGTACAAGAAATACTAATCTAATATGCAGGATTAAAGAAGGAATATCTGAAGAAGGAATTTTAATTGAAGTCTAAATAGGAGTTTCTAAGAAAAAATAGTAAGAGGAACAAATGCTGGGGAAAAAAAAACAAGTTGCAAGGTATAAAGATGCACAATAATTAAATTAAAAAATTAAAAATAGTGTTGAGCAGGTGGTGTGGTGGTTGGGGTGCTGGATTCCCCCATGGCCAATTGTGATTCAGGTCCTGGATCTGTCAACTTGCTTTCTCACTTTCCCTCTATTTCTATCACTCACTGGTCAAACTGAAAATAGATAAATAAATAAATAATAGATAAATTTTAAAAGATGACTAAAATAGATACATAAAGATAATTAGAGAATTATGAGTGAGAAAAGGAAATTAAGCAAGTATGGCAGGTGTAATATCTTAATTAATGGTCTCTGACTACTCTGTTGTGTCATTTTTACCAACTTCTCCAAAATACAGAGCTAGCTTTATCAAGCATGACTGACTGCTAACCAACTCCACTCAATGTGCACTCCACCCACACCAAATTTTATTTTAAGTACAATAACAAGACACTGAGTATACAACATAAAAGTAGAAGATCACTTTGGGAATTACTTGCTCAGAGTCAAGGAAGTACAAACAAAATGTAAATAAACATAAATAAAGTGTAACTAAATGTAAATAGAGTACCAGGGTCTGGGTTTCTTGGAAGGTTGCTCTTTTCACTCAAGTCTCCTGGCAATGAATGATCCTAAGGTTGAACAATACATATAAATGATCCTGAGGACAATGAAGCCATTGAAAAGTGTTAAGGTACGATGTGGCATGAATATTTATGAATTGCAAAATGATCACTCTAGCTTTTATTTTTTTTTTGAAAGTAAAAATATAAATTTCTTAATAGGTCAAAAATATATATATCAGGCAGATTTTCTGAATTTCTTTAAGGGCAGAATTTTTAAACCATATAAAACAATCAGAAACAATTTACCACAACATACATAAAGTAAGCCACAGTTCAAATTTAGGCTGAATAACCAAACCATGTAAATTATATAGAGAATTGCTTGGATGAAATAAAGTTGGAACTCATTCATAAAGAAGATTTGAAATACTCTAAGAAAGACAGATAATAGATGAGGGCCAAATAATGCTCCATGGCCATAGTAGAAATGAACATGTAATGCATGTATTTACTGGAATGGAGAGTTCAGAGTTGAGAATCATACAGATGTGGGTTTAGATATTAGCTCTATTTTTTTTTTTTACTGTAATCTTTATAATTGTCTGTTTCCTCATCTTTAAAACAGATGAGGAAATTAACATTATGATCTCACATTTTTAAAGTTAATTATGTTAAAACTTGTAAAATTGGGGACAAGGGATGTAAAGCAAAATCAAGTCATGGCTTTCTTGGTGCATGTGCTTAAAGAAAATAGGTACGAAAGATATACAACTCATTTGTCATTTGAGATGTGTGGTTTGCACAGGGAAAAAAGTAAAGCAAGTAAATGATACCAGAGGAGTCATTAATAAAATCTAGACTCCGGGCTGAAGAAGTATGAAGTTGTCCGTTTGGTGAGTAGAGATGATGGTGACTACTTGATGAGAAAGTACTATTTAATTTGCAGTTTGAGAAACATAGAGGTGAGTTGCATGTTATTATAAAAATACCTATTCTTCAAATATCTCAAAATCACCAATAAGAAATATGTGAACTTTTGTTTTTGTGCTTTTCTGTGTACATCATCACCTTCTCTGTGTGAATGGTAAGAAAACAAAATTTTAGAAAGTTCTTGGTTCTTCCCCTTTCTCCCTCTTAATGATATTTTGTATATGCTGAAGTTTCAAATGCATAGGAGTTATAGTTTTATTTCTGTTTCCCTATGTTGCATAAAATTTCATCAATTTTACAAGTTTTCTTCCAGTCTACTCACTGTGTCTTCTTTAAAGAGAAGAGAAGAAGAAATTTATCCTGGATCTGCTTGGTTTTCACTCCATAAATAACTGGATTTAGAGCAGGAGGAGCTGCCACATACAGGTTGGCAAACAGGATGAGCACACTTCGAGGTACACTGTGCCCAAAACGATGAGCAAGGATGGAGAAGAAGGCAGGCGTGTAAAACATGAGGATAACACAGATGTGGGAGCCACAGGTGCTGATGGCCTTCTGGCGGGCACCCTGGGATGAGAGTTGAAAGACAGCACGGAGGATGAAAGTATAGGAAACAGCAATAAAGACCACATCTGAGATGACAGTCATGAGAGGTACAGCAAATCCATACCAGATATTGATGGAGATGTCAGCAGAAGAAAGCCTCGCCACACCTATATGCTCACAGTATGTATGTGGGATGATGCGGGTTCTGCAAAAGGGTAACCGTTTTAGCAGGAAAACATCTGGTAGGATGACAGAGAAGCTTCTCACAACAATGCCCACCACAATCTTGATGATCACTGGTGGGGTCAGGATGGTGGTGTATCTCAAGGGGAAGCAGATGGCCACATAGCGATCAAAGGCCATAGCCAACAGGATGGCCGAGTCCACTACAAAGCTGAAATGGAGGAAGAACATCTGTGTGAGACAACCAGAGAAGGTTATTCCTTGGGATCCAAGCCAGAGATTACTGAGCAGTTTGGGCACTGTGGCTGTAGACAAGATGAGGTCCGTGGCAGCCAGCATAGAGAGGAAGAAAAACATGGGCTCATGGAGGCTGTGCTCAACTGCAATGAGGTAGAGGAGGATGCAGTTGCCCATAATAGCCACAACATAGATGACACAAAAGGGAATCCCAATCCAGATGTGGAACTTTTCCAGGCCAGGTATTCCAACAAGGATAAAGGAACTGGGATTGTAACAGCTTAGGTTGTACATGGCGTCTTCAGTCTGGTTCTCTCTGGTTCTTGAGTCCTGAGGACAAATCAAGTGACAGAATAGTCTGTGAAAGTAAACAGCTTCACTTTAGTGCTGAAAATGGGACTGCCACTGTCCCATTCAGGGTTCCTACATTAGAAGAACCTCCTGTCCGCTCGCTGGGTGAGCTGACACCTATGGAATTAACTGGTTATTGTCCCTTATTTTTGCTATTGGCCTTACATTATTTCTTTATATATAAACTATTAATAATAAGCCATACGAAATGGTTATTTCTGTAGGACAGCAGCTTCATACAATTAAACATAATTTGTTGTGTTTCTTTCACAGTGCATATTATTTTATATAAGCCCATGTTCAAAAGGATAAAAAAATTTAAGTATAGGAGAAGGAGGAAGGAAAATGAAAAGGGAGATAGAATACTAAGAATATTAAAATATCAAAATGGATGAAGAAAAATTTTAAAGGGCAGCAATTGACTTTTTTTGTTGTTGTTGTTTTGTTTTGTTTTGTTTTGTTTTGTTTTATTATAGGGCACATGAACTCACTGGAGAGGGACAGAGAGATAAAGAGAGAAGAAGTGAGAAATCAACATGCAAGGGGGAGGGCCGCACCATTGCTCCATCCTCCTCTCAGGACTTTGAGCAATCAGGCATATGCTTGAGGCATGTTTACAAGTCTCCAGGTCTAAGAGTCAACCTGTGAAGTTAGCCATGTGGGATCCAGCTGCCTTAACCACTATGCCATCAGTTGGCCCCTACAATTAATTTTTATAGAGCAAATATATTTCAGACAATGTGTCTGAAAAAATAATCTGAATAATTTGTAAAGCAGGAGAAAAGAGAATGAAAAAGAAACAGCAGATTCCAGTGTTATGGGTGGGGAGTACATATGTTTTGTTTGATCAGAATTGAAATATGATTCACATTAGGATGTATTTTTACTAGAATGTGAATTTAAGAGAATGCATCTGGTAGAAAACACACAGGAACGGGAACCAGCAGTTAGCGTAATGGCTATGTCGCTGGACTCCCACGTAGTCGACCGCGGTTCACATCCTGGACCCGGTGGCTTAAAACTCACGCCGGGCGCGTGTGCGTGCGTGCCCAAGATCCCGAGAGGAGAATGGAGGAGAAGGGATTGCGGCGTGACCATCCCCCCTGGGGGGTGATTTCTCGCTTTCTGTCTCTATGTCTCTCTCTGTCTGTCTGGCAAGCGCATGCGCCCTACAGTGAAAATCTCTCCAGACAAAAAAAAAAAAAAAAAACACACACAGGAACTAGTGAACATTATCCTGACTTGAGCAGAGAATGCATCTGGTAGAAAACACACAGGAATTAGTGAACATTATCCTGACTTGAGCAGAGAGCAGTGAGCTCAGAAGATAATTTATGATTTCAGGGACAATATCCTAAACCTTGGCGGACCTCTGTTCCCAAGCTAGTAGGGGAGACTATTCTTTACTCCAGTGAGACTGACAAGGATTGCATAATAATAAAAAGCCACTGTACGTGTCCTAGCCAAAGTTAGGCAGAGAAGATTCTTATCTCCTAGATATCAAACAAAGAATAGTAAAAGTAAGCAAGTAAATTTGCCCAGAAGTTTTTATTTCTGGCCTGCCAGTACTTGGATTCCATCTGTGGGAATCTCAAGCTTTGTAGTAAGAAGAGCCTGTCATTGGAGATATTTTTTAATGTATTTTTTCTGCCCTTTATACACATTTCCTGTGACCCAGTGGAAATGTGCTTCTTGTCAGGAGGGAGTAAGTGTGCTCTATGAAGCTGAACTGTGGTTTAGTCTAAATTAGAGAGCCATTTTTGAGGCTTTCTCATTCCTTTTGCTTTTTAGACCACAGATTGGATGACCACCGCTTTAGAGAGAACTTCATATAGACCCTGTTGCTACTTGTTATTCCTATAAATTTACTCTCTTTTGGAGTTCAGTTCATTGAAAAATGTCTCTTGAGTTTTAACTCAATTCATGTGGTCTGTTTATTTGTATTTATTTTTTTAATTTCGTTTTATCTGATAATGTTCTATTTCTATCTAATCATTGTCAAGCACAATGTGGATTTGAAAGCATGCATGCAGTGTGTAATGATCAAATCAAGGGTCATATCATATTCATCATTTTCAATAAAGAACATCATAGTCAAGATATATATGTGTGTGTGTATATATATATATATATATTTGAAAATTTCTGTTTTAATGGGTTTTTTTTTACTCATTTATGGTATGCCATTACACAACCCACTTGCCCTATCTACCAACACTTGTACAATCTACTTCATATAAAAAAGAAGAAAAGAGAATCAGAAACACTGATGCAAAGGAGCACTGACAAAGCTCCGCAAATATGAGCCATCTTTGGATCAGTTTTACAAAGGTTTGGTTTTTACCTTCCCGACAGATTTACAACATCCTTTTAAAAATCTTTAAAGAAAGGAAGTAGATTTTGTGAGCAAGTTTACATAGTGAACTTCTCTCTCAAAGTTTCATCATCGACAGTGTCCTTAATTAGCCATAGTGAACATGATTCCATGTTTCTAGGAAAACTACAGTCAGTTTCCACCACCCAGAGGCAGCCTCCATCTGAAAATCTGCTTTAAGTTACATCTCCAGGTCCAATGCAGCCTGAACTCCAAAAGAGAGTAAATTTATAGGAAGAACATGTAGCAGCAACAAGGTCTATAAGAAGTTCTCTCCACAGGTCATTCGATCTGTGGTCTAAAAAGCAAAAGGACTGAGAAAGCCTCAAAATGGCTCTCTAATTTAAACTAAACCACAGTTCAGCCTCGAAGCACATTTCCCCTGGGTCACAGGACACGTGTATAAAGTGCAGAAAAACAAACCATGAATAAACCAAAATTAAAAAGAGGAGTCTTGTCATAAAACAGAAAATATCCAAATCAAGTCCTGCTTTTATATTGAAGAATATAAAAACCTTTTCTGATCAAAACCTATTCTGATCTCATTCTTCTGTCCAAAGAACTCTTTCCTTCTGACTTCCCCGACTGTACTACATTTGCAGGTCTCCACCATTGTCTTTATATTACAGAATCGTTGGCGTCAGGACTGTTTTCCAGGGTCATGTCCTCCAGGGTACAGCCCCTACTAACACAATGAGTAAACTAGAGGCAATATTACTACTAAAATCACAGAGTCAGTACAGTGAGCTGCTTCTCACTGATTGACTGCAGTTTTCAACTCACCAGATTATCTTCTATCCCTTGGTTTAGAGGAGACTCAAGAAGTATCTATTTAGAAGGAAGTGAGTGAAATTTTAGGTTGGAAAAGATTCTAGTAAGAAGTGAAGTGAAAATTTATTCATTTTTTTTTATATCCCCAGAAGATAGCTCAGGTTATATAGGCCTCTCTGTTTCCTATTCCCACCTAAGGGACAGGACCAACCATAATAATTCCTTTCCCTTGAGGTGAAACGTAGCTTGGGGTTTAGTGGTCTGTGGAGATTGGATTTCTTAGGAGATTCATTCTGAGACAAACCAGACACAGTCAGGTGAGGCAGAGTTCCCAGAATCTAAGAACGTTCCTGAACGTCCCAGTATTTTTAGTTAGTCTATTTGTGTAATTTTGTACCAATAGCATACAAATAGAATAAAATTTTCTATTTTCCAGATAGTGGAAACTGCCAGATTTTTTTTTTTAATTCTTCAAAATGTTATTAGTTATTCTTGGTATTCTGCATTGTCATGAAATTTTGTAAGCAGTTTCTCAGTTTACAGACACACACATGTATGTACTTGAGGCTTTTATTTGACTACCCTCAAACTATTTATTACTGTGAAAATATTTTATACATTTATCATGTACATTCATATTATAAATATTATATATATATGT